TGGCAAGCACATATTATAAATTAAATACATGAAAAATTGCAGCCTGGTATTTTGGTGATGTCACAATAAATAATTGCTTGGTTCTATTACAATATACTATTGAGAGATTGCATTAAAACATTACCCATTTGAATGATAGTTGTCTTTCTGAATTACATTAAAATTTTATATCTGTTTTTCAAAAATGTTTCTTTTTGTACAAAATCTTTGTTAAATTATGGATGCATTTTTAACACTGATATATTATAAGAAATGTAACAGTTTAGACCATCCTTTCTCAAAGTGGGCGATAATACGCCCTTGTGGGCGCTGGAGGCATTCAGGGTGCAGTAGAAGGCTCGGTGATTAAATATGAGTTTTATTTCTTCTCATTGAAACATTCTTTGATCTCAGAAATAGGATATGGGTCACACCCTATCTATCCTATCCATATAATAATGCATGTTTAAACATTATATTTGCAATAACTGTTTTTAAGATATGCAACAAATGGTAATGTAAAAAGGTAAGTTTAAAAATATGGGGGCACTAGATTTTTTTTAAATCTCAAAGTGGGCAGTGATCGAAATAAGTTTGAGAACCTGTGGTTTAGACAATTAACTGCATTAGCTCATTTACTGTATTTTTAGATGATGTAAAGGATGCATATACGGTTGTGGAGGTTTTGATAATTGACAGAAATTTGTTGAATTTTTTGAAAGAACGAATAATCAAATGATTAGATCCTTAAAGTGTTTAGTATAAAAGTTATTTAAACATTTATATTAAATTAAGATGAATATATAAATAAATTTAATTTGTAGATATTCATGTAAAATATGTGTTCTATTATACATGTATTGGCATTACAGTAGTCCTAAATTTTCTGTAGATTTACCATTTTGTCCTATATTTTTGAGAAAATTCCCCATGCTTTGAATGGTTTATTAAAAAATTTTTCTTAACAATGCAAGAGACATGACACAGCAAGTTCCAGAATTTTATCATCTTTTTGGATACAGCCTTTGTTTATTTTTCCATAACAACAAATCTTAAGGTGACTCCAACATTTAGTGTTTGCTGAATAGTTAACAAACATTTGGCAAAACCAAATTAGACTTGTGACTAATATTTGGTATTTGCAGTTTCTCACTCCTTGTCAGTATATTATGCCAAATCAAAGGGAATGAATAGTCAATTATTTGGCAATTGGCATATATCAAATGTGTGGAGCTGCCTTTAAACAGCAAGTGCTTATTTAATGTGAGTGTAATAACAGTCACATTATGTAAGTTTGATATATAGTTAATGAAAGTTGTATATAGTTAATTGGGACTCCTGCCCCAAGGTTTCCATATCTGGTCTCAGATTTCATCTATGTATCTCTGTTCTCAAGGTTAAGGAAAGATGGACAAATGGAAGGATGACAGTGGGAATTTATAGGTCTACAATTTTTTCAAATTGCAGCCCAATAAACTTGACAATGTTGTCATTGTGTAGAAATGCTATGATACTAAAAGCACTATAAAAGAGTGATTTCACTGTGAATGAAGGAACAAATGATAATGGAGAGCACTTTATTAAGTAGAAGCATATTGATTTTTACTAGTCTAAATTATTGATGAGAATAAATTCTAGTGGTCTTCTCAAATACCCGTGCTTGCGAAATTGATGAAAACTGCACTATTGATATTTTATTCAAGAAATTGTTGATAAACTTTTTTCATTGAAGAAGGAATTGCTTCTAAGAAAAATTCTATGCTAACATCAAAACTAGAATATGCTCTCAGAATTATTAAAGATGTTTTACTGATATATCATAGCATACAAAAAATATCTATAACAACAGATTGTTTACAACAGAGAAGCCCTGATAGAAAAGAGGAAGAATCTTGAAAAAAATAAAACTAAGAATGAGAAGCAGAAGAAAAATTCAAGAGGAAAGTGGTGGAAAATGAAAAGATAAAAGCACAGTCAGAACTAGAAAAGCAATTAAGACATAGTCAAGAATTAATGAAAGAAGCAAATGATCCTTTAAGTGCAGCCTATCAAATGCAAGATATGAAATATATGCAGCACAAGGCTTTTATAATCTGGAATTGAGATGCTTCATTACTACAATAAGAGGTTTAAACAACTACAAACAGAAATTCAAAAGATAGCATAAAAAAAATTTTTCTCTTATGCAAAGTTTTCAATGGCTAATCTTAAATTTTAGTGTGAATTCTCATTTTTTCAAACAAGTGTTATGACTACTAATACATATTTAATGATATGCATTATTAATTTAAAATTAGGATATATGAATTAAACCTTTTTTTCAGGCATAAGAAAATACGGAAGAGATTTTAAGGCTGTTGCCGAGGTGATAGGCACCAAGACAGAAGCGCACGTCCGAAGTTTTTTCATAACGTATCGTAGGCGATACAATTTAGATTCGGTCCTACAAGAATACGAAGCCGAGCATGGAATAGCAAATGAGGATACAAAAGATGAGGTAATAAAGTAAAATGATAATCTCATAAATGAATTTAATTCATATACATTTAGATTTATTTTTGGATCTTTTGATTTATTCCAAAAATTTATTAGAATTAACTTTAAAGCTTTCATTTGTTGTCTTCACAGAATAAATTAAATGATAGCATACAAATGATGTTTTAAAGTTATGCAAAATTTATCAACTTGAAACTGTGTCGTGATCTACAGAAAAGTTGCACTACATTGTGTTGGATAAACAAAAAAAAAGTTATTCAAAATGTTTATAATTTCACAAGTACAGCAAAACTTCTAAATCTCAAATTTGAGGGGACAAAAAATAATCAGTTTGAATTATGGAATATTGTACATATGTCTATGAAAAATAGGAAAATTTTTATTTTGAATTTATTCAAAAATCAATTTTTGCTTCATACATTACATCAAATTTTGATATCTCCACTAGATCTGGTGGGTTCTGCTAAACTGGCAACCTACTCATGAACAGAGGGTGCTTGTAAGGTAGTTTTAATACAGCTGTATAAGCAAGACAATGACATATCTTATTTCATTTGAAACATGCTACATCATTAGTTTGCTTATCAAGCTGTACTAAGGCCTCTTTATCAGATAATGCACCAAAATATTTGCCAAACTTAATAGGTTAAGTAGTTCAATCAAAGAAGGGACGAAGTCCAGGTACATGAAATGTTGAACTTTAGAAGTAGAAAAATACATTATACATATACAGGGTGAATAGAAAAGTTCTTTTAACCGGAAAATTCCTTGGAATTCTTGATAACATCATACAAAAAACAACAGAAAGGCAAACTATCACACAGTGATAACGAGTTAATGTCGAGTATGTTAGAAAAGTTCGCCATTGTTATCAAACTGTATTGACATAAGACAGGTTAGATTTTAGATACGTATACTGTCATGGCGGCGGTCCCGACTGTTCGTACTCCCGACTGATTCCTCCCGTAGGGGAGCCGCCGGCAGGCCGCCTTGTGCCAAACGTCACTAGTTATTGATTCACGGTAGTTCTTGAACACAAGTATCAATGACTAGTATGAAGTACCGCCATGACAGTATACGTATGTAAAATTTAACCCACAAAATGGCATGCATCGCTTTTGGACATTTTTGGGTGTACAGGCGACAATTTATCTTATCCGTGTGAACCACATGTCGTTTTGTACTAATTAATTGATGCTCTAAAACTTTCTAATTGGAAAGTTTGCTCTATCTGTTTTCGTTTTCGATTTGCACTGCCTATCTTCCAAATTTTGCCACTAGGGGCGCTGCTGTTGTTTGCATTAGGTCGGGCGTAGTCGCTTTATTATACCGTTACCTCACTTGCATAGCCGTAGCTCTCTCCGTTCTCAAGAATTTTCCGGTTAAAGGGACTTTCCTATGCACCCTGTATAGAGTGGTACTTCGTATTTCGAAAACTAACTTTTAATTGTGTTATTTTTATCTTAAATTATGCGTTTTTGCTGTTTTAAGTTTATCGAAATGGGCATTGTTTAGGTTCTGGGAATGAATTAATTCGCTTTTCATTATTTCTAATGGAAAAAAATTGTTTCGGACTTCGAATTTAACTCATTCTAGTAGGCCGTTCGAAGTATGAAGCACCACTGTATGTATCGTTCCAATAAGATTTTACATTGTAGCTCTAACACCGAAGATCATTGCTAAAAAAAGTTTTGACAGGTCAAAATTATTTAAATTTTGTGCAATAGTTTGGACGCAACATGAAATAAAATCTGTAATTGAATGATTAAATACAAACAAGAAATTCATCTTGAGCATCACAAATCTGAATATTTTTTAATTCGATTTCAAACGTTTCATTTTCCGTTTTATTAACTTTCAAAGTGACAATATTCAATTGAATACGTCAATCAATATTTAATATAAGATCCATCAACGAAACCCGAAAGGAATCACACAATTTCTTTAATCGTAAATTGGGAAAATCTTTTTTCAAATTAAATTTACATAATACTAATATTCGGACATTGAAATTTAATTCGATTTTTAACATTACTTTCGCGTTGGATATTTCAAATAAATTTCACAAAAATAGTTAATGGGACTAAAACCGATGTGAGTTAACAGTTGCAATTAAGTTAGAGGAGAAAAGCCTTACAAAGGCAAAAAGCGTGACAGAATCGTTATTTTGCATAAATAGACGTCGTCAAAATGGCATTTTTCTTGATTTCATCGTCGATTTCGGTTAAACTAAAGGAAAAATTCGTAATTCACGTATCAAAATCATCAAAAAAGTTATACGAGGTGGTCGAGAAAAATGACTTAATTTTGTCCAAGTTCATTTAAATTTTAATGTACTGTACTGTACAACAGAAGGGTATCGAAATTATTACGTTTCGGTTAATTTTATTTTAAATTCATAATTTGTTCACGTATACAAATTATAAAATTGTTTGCATTATTATTTTTTCTTTCAGCTACAAATAGAAATCGATAGCGGTGCTAGTAGTCATTCGGGTTCGCCCAGCATAACAGTTGCAGGATCNAACAGTTGCAGGATCTACGTCACCAACCAGGTAACGCTTGCTTAAGTTTCGTTAATATTCGGTATCCGCGGATTTTAAGATAATACTAATGGATGCGGAATTAGTTTCAGAAGCGGAGATCCATCCATTCAGACCAGTTGCCCGCAATGAAGTCTATGCACCATAGATTTGACTTACGGAGATTCTAGCGTTGGAACAATCATCCAGGTCGAGCACCGGTTTTAAACGGGACGCGAACACGATGTATAATTTATGTCGTTTTTCTGATATAATACCGATCGCACTTCTTTCCGCCGACGAAATCGTAGACCCTAAAGTCAGATTTTGCCTAATCTACTCAGGAATCGTCCGGATGCCGTCGTCGGAGATTGCCAAAATCTTCGATCTAGCACGTCCTTAACAGGGAAATGTAATAACATGAGAGAGTGAGTGTGTTGGTCGAGTGACGTTTTTGAAATAAATGCTCATTTCTCTAACCGCTATGTTCCTTTCTTCCTTCGAGGAAAACGAATTTGTGAAGGAAAATATAAAAAGAAAATCGAGCGTCACTTTCATTTCTAAATTTATCCGAACGAGTAGCAGCACGGGAGTTTACTTGGTTCTTTAGTGAGATTAGGAACGATCGTCGTGGACACGCGGGGGAAAAACATCACTCGTCTCTGTACATAGTGTAATTTAAAGGGGATAGTTTTCGTCTTTCAGGTATTTAATTGTAAATCTCATATCTAATCTTGCATATCAAAGACATCTCCGTGTCTTCGGCTTGGTTTCAAAACATATTTTTATAATTCACTCCGGACAATAATGTAGGCAAAATAAAAAATTGGATTCGAGCGTACGCTTTTCTCTCTTATTTTAAATATGTTCTGTGGTTTAAAAATTGGTTTGTAGTTTAGATTTTGCTAAAGATTCCAGTGTTGTTTACGAGCCGGCTGGTTAAATAACACAGCGGCTCGTCGGGAATTCGTGTAACTCCGTGTAAAATAACCCCGTCAAATTGACATGGTACAGTACTCGAATAGCTAGTTCATAAATCAAATTTGCTAAACGAAGTTAGAAAAAAATGCCGCAAATAATTAGAATAGTTTTCTCCTTCCCGACGACGATAATCTATTGTTATAACTTTTATTATAAACACCTTTTATAAATATATCTATATTTTGGTAATTTACTTTAACATAGAAAGGTTTGATTTAATTTTGAAAAAAATCCTGTAAAAATTATCCGATGATATTTTGTAACCGTTCCGAGAAAATTTAGATTCCATTCAATGATTCCTTGATGTCTTTTTGTTTTTTCCTTTAATCTAAAAAGAATTTATATATAAATTATTCTTCGGTGAATAAAGAATTGAATAATTAGTCGGTGTAGTGTATTATACGATCATTTTAAAGAATAAATAAGATAAAAGGAGATTTAATTCTTGGTGTATTTTGCAACATACGTATACAAAAACTCGTATTTCGTATCGGAATTTCTGAAATTTTTCTCGAGCTAATAAACGGCCGTTTACGAAATTTCGAAATCAAATTTAATTCGAAATAACGACACTAGGGGATATTTGGCACGTAATTCGTTCGCCTTTCGTTTCCCGAAATTACAACGGACACGGCGTAAATTTTCCAGATTAATTTTCACGATGGCAGCGCGCAAACCGTTTTCACAAAAACATCTGAAAACAAAACTATTTTCTCAATATCATCTGATTTAAAATTTCCTACAAATTTATTTCAAATAGCAATAGCTCACAAATCTTTTGTTTATCTTTAACAATTAAAAAATAATTCAAGTAAAAATTGTAACAATTTTTAAATCTAATAATATAAGAAGCAAGAAAAACTTTTTTTTTTTAAATCTGTTGTTAAAGATTTAACTTGATATCGTTTGTTGTTAATAATCCAACTTTAGCTGCACTAAAATGTAAAAAAATGAACCATAACCTGAACATTTCTCTCTTAAAACTAGTCGAAGAATCTATTATAGAAGGTTTTAAGTAGAAAATTACAATAAATAGATGCACGTTTTACCAATTTCTAAATTTTACCCTTTTTTTTTAATTACAAGCTATTTATAT